GTAGCTATGATTCCATTTGGAAACTATAGTTAGGGTTTGGTTAAATGGCCTTGTTAGTTACAAGTACTTTCATGAGATTGTAATTAGAGGCAACTGGAGTTGTGGCAAATTAAGCTTTTGAGATTGGAGGTGCAGTCAGAATGATCCTATATACATAATGTACCCTATGACGAAGGATCGATTTGAATAGTTGAACGGAAAATGCTTAGGAATTGGTAAGTACCTCTTGTGAAGGTTAGATGGCAATACCATGGAACTGAAGAAACCACATGGGAACTAGAGATCGAAATGAGAAAGAAAAGTTTGCACTTGTTTGAGTAGCTTGGGTGTGTTGAGTAAATTTCGAGGACGAAATTTTTTTTAAGGAGGGTAGATTGTGAGATCCCGTATTTTAGATATATATATATATATATGTATGTATGTATTTAAAGAGTTTTTAAGGTTTTCCTCTTAGTACATTACGTATATGGATGTGTGTGTGTGTGTGTGTTATTTGAAAGAAGATGATTTTTAGATATAGACTTTTTTTGTATATTTATATGGTATAATATTGTATTAGTATCCACGTGGCAACATTGTTTGAAAGGATGTATGAAGTACTTGCAAAGCTACTTGGACAACACTCCAATCTAGCAGGAGCTGGCTTACAACGAGATAACAAATAAATTATTTATTAAATATCCTTAGTTAGTTGGCAACTTGCTCGTCATTATCCTACAACCCAACCGACTGAAGCTATGTATTTATAGGCAGAGACCTTCAGACTGAAACGAGAGGAAGACAAGAAAGAAGAATCCGAGAGAGAGAGAGTAGAGTAGAAGTAGCAAGAAGTTTATATATGTTTAAGAGAAAGGAATAAGAAGCTGCAAACTGAGAAGGCTTGTGGTGTTAACCAATAGCATGTTATGTATGGAGGTATTGATCCCTATATTTTATATCCTTCTCATTCTTAGATTACTCACTGTTATTCAAATTAGTTTTTGAGCAGATTCTTATTTTGATAACATATAAAGAGATTTAGCTTTAAGTATATAGGGTTTATGGCTGTTATGGTATACTGTACCGTTGGTGGGTTCAAATACCAATAATATCGGGTTCTGTATATTTTGGGATTGTGCGATAAGGAAGGAAGAGAAAGGAAAGTTTTCCTATAATAAATATATCTATTGAGATTTGTTTGGCTAAAGTGCTCTTACTGTTGTTAATTCAGGATTATGGTTTTGTTCTTTGGTTATTGAATGCAGAAATGAATGTGGAAAATAAGAAGAGAACATCGAATTCCACAAGGTATGACCGGTGTGGTTGGTTGGTACATGGAGCTAAGTTGTAGTATGACTAGCTTTGGACTCCATGTAGGGGAAATAAGGTAGATCTTTACACAAATTGATTTTATTAAATTTCGTAAAGTGCTATAATATTCTTGATCTTTTTGGTTGATTTATATGATTGAGTTTAATTCGCTAATTGCTTCAGTTAAGTGTTTACTTGTTATTGATTATGAAATTATTGCTGGAATGCTATTCGTTGAGAATATACTATGAAATATGTGAAAGATAAAATGACATCATTTGTGCATCATTCATATTGATGTGGTTGGAATTTCAATGTTCAAATTGGAAGTATGGAAATGAGGGTAGTTGGAAAGGATCTTTTGTGTAGTTGAATCTATTCATTGTGAAACCAGTTCCAGGCGAGCCTGATGTGCACAGTAGAATAGGATATTGACGGGAATTGTTGATGTGGGTGATTTGGGCTGGAGATCAATGAATTAGATAAGATGACTAGCAAAAGGGGTTTATGAACTTGGGATATCATATGGGGGTTAGTTTCTATAATAGAACATTCGAACCACCTCTGCAGGGGTAAAATGCAAGGTATGGGACGTGCAGGTTCGCGTGTTTTATTTTATAAATTAACGGGGGTAACTGAAGAGGTTGCATGACATTCATGCATCGTTATAATTGCTGTTTTGAGATTTGGCTATATGATTTCATGATACTTAATTTACTACTGTCAATTTACTGTGTGTCCTTACTGAGCTGTTGAAGCTCATCCCTTTATTATTATGCACGTTTATGAACTAGACATTCAAGAGAATAGGCAAGACGAGATCAGATTAGATTGGAAAAATAGAAAGTTTATTCATCTCTTTACTATAGGTTGTAAAGAATTCTTGATTTGTTTGATCATGAATTATTTTTAATAAGAGGAGTTTATTTTCCAACCCGTGTAAATTTTTATTTATTTATTGAGCTTTTAACTCACGTTTCGGATTCGGGTTCGAGTTTTTATTACCGACTTCGGGTCCGGGGCATGACATATGGCTATAATATTGAATGCAAGGTTTTGTTCTTTGGTTATTGAATGCAGAAATGAATGTGGAAAATAAGAAGAGAACATCGAATTCCACAAGGTATGACCGGTGTGGTTGGTTGGTACATGGAGCTAAGTTGTAGTATGACTAGCTTTGGACTCCAGGTAGTGGAAATAAGGCAGACCTTTACACAAATTGATTTTATTAAATTTCGTAAAGTGCTATAATATTCTTGATCTTTTTGGTTGATTTATATGATTGAGTTTAATTCGCTAATTGCTTCAGTTAAGTGTTTACTTGTTATTGGTTATGGAATTATTGCTGGAATGCTATTCGTTGAGAATATACTATGAAATATGTGAAAGATAAAATGACATCATTTGTGCATCATTCATATTGATGTGGTTGGAATTTCAGTGTTCAAATTGGAAGTATGGAAATGAGGGTAGTTGGAAAGGATCTTTTGTGTAGTTGAATCTATTCATTGTGAAACCAGTTCCAGGCGAGCCTGATGTGCACAGTAGAATAGGATATCGACGGGAATTGTCGATGTGGGTGATTTGGGCTGGAGATCAATGAATTAGATAAGATGACTAGCAAAAAGGGTTTATGAACTTGGGATATCATATGGGGGTTAGTTTCTATAATAGAACATTCGAACCACCTATGTAGGGGTAAAATGCAAGGTATGGGACGTGCAGGTTCGCGTGTTTTATTTTATAAATTAACGGGGGTAACTCAAGAGGTTGCATGACATTCATGCATCGTTATAATTGTTGTTTTGAGATTTGGCTATATGATTTCATGATACTTAATTTAATACTGTCAATTTATTGTGATAAGGTTATGTCCCTACTGAGCTGTTGAAGCTCATCCCTTTATTATTATGCACGTTTATGAACTAGACATTCAAGAGAATAGGCAAGGCGAGATCGGATTAGATTGGAAAAATAGAAAGTTTATTCATCTCTTTACTGTAGGTTGTAAAGAATTCTTGATTTGTTTGATAATCATGAATTATTTTTAATAAGAGGAGTTTATTTTCCAACCCGTGTAAATTTGTATTTATTTATTGAGCTTTTAACTCACGTTTCGGATTCAGGTTCGAGTTTTTATTACCGACTCCGGGTCCGGGGCGTGACATATGGCTATATAAGGAATTGCATATCTATTATTTTCATTGAGTTCAATTGCATATATTCTCTGAATTCTATCAATACAATCTCTCTGGTTGCTCTCTATCATTTTCCTCTTCCTCTATACCAATTATTCATCTTTTACAATGTAGTTAACATGGTATCAGAGCTGCTAGACTCACGCCATGGATTCTGGTGGTTTCTCTCTTCGCAGTAGTTTACATTTTTTTTCCTAGTTTAGTTTCTCTTCAAATTTTCATTAAATTTTCGGTGCTTCCGCGAGCTTGGGTTGATTTTTTCCCGATTGTTGCGATTGTTGGGTTGATTGTTCTGGTTTGGAGATTTCTCCACCGACGCGGTCACCACCTCCAAGAACTGAGGCTTTTCACCGCCGTTCATCTTCTGGGTACTCATACGCGCGTTCGGATCTTACGCAGCAGTCATCGCTGACTCACAGCAGCTGGACAAAATCATAAGATCAGAGCTTTCTCCCTTCTGAGGTGCATTGGCAGAAGAAAACATGAGAGATATTTGCTTTGAAGTCTGCGATGTGGTTCTCCATGCTGATGTCATCCACAATGGTGGTGGCCAAAATATATGGTGCGGTATTATGAATCACATCTGATCACTATGTACTAGGGACATTTGGTTGATTAGGTCTGAAATCTTGTGAATTTAGAGTCGTCTTCGATATGGTTCTTTCTTCTTGGTGGTCTGCTCAAATCACTTTCTGAATTTTTTGGTGGTGTCTGTTTATTTGGGAGCTCTTCTGTGTTCTTTGGCTCAAGATTGAAGTTCTTATCAGGTTCTTGATTTCTGGTTTTCACAGTGCACATAATCTGTTTGATTAAATGTTTCAGTAAGAAAATGTTCGCTATTTTGTCAATTAGTAAGGTTGATAGCCAAAGAGTGGTATATTGAATTTACACTCCGCTTGTTCATCTTTCTTGTGAGTCTTTTCTGGGATATTAGTGTGATATTTGGGATATTTGGATTCAAGATTGGTCATTGCTTCAAGATCAGTGTTTGTGATTAGTTGGGATATTTGGCTTGGTGCTATGACTACACCTGCTTCGCTTGCTGTTGTGAATTTCTGCGATTCTGTATCTGTGATCTAGGGGGTTTGGTGATTGAAGAAGGAGTTGTTTTTTTTTTTGTTTTTGTAATTCTTGAAGATTTGTGATGAAATTTGTTGTTGTTTTTGGGTCTCAGGAATGTCAATCTCCTTGGTTGATTTGATTTCTTGGAGTGTCATTCTTCTTGGTTAATTTTGATGTTAGTATTTGGGAAGATTTAGGAAGCTATCAGGAGTGTCAATCTCCTTGGTTGGTTTGGTTTCTTGGAGTGTGATTCTCCTTAGTTGATTTGATTTCTTGGAGTGTCATTCTCCTTGGTTAATTTTGGTGTTAGTATCTGGGAAGATATAGGAAGCTATCAAGAGTGTCAATCTCCTTGGTTGATTTGGTTTCTTGGGAATCATTCTCCTTAGTTGATTTAGTGCCAGTCTCTGTAAAGTTTTAGTTAGTTCAAGATATTTTTTGCTCCAACTCCTATGTAGATGACAAAGACTTTAATCGATTAGGATTAGAAACTGTATTGTGCAGAGCATTTTCAGCAGTAACATAAATTTCAGCAAGCCTCATGGGTTGATCAATTGAGCTCTCAGAAATTCCTGGTAAAGAGTTAGGATTATATAAGAGATTGGAAAGAATGGAGTTTCTTGTGGTTTCCCTGGAATTTTTATCAGCAGGCATGAATATCTTTTGGTAAACTGTTCTCAGGCTTCTTATCTTTACGGCTGTGAATCCATTATGTCGTAGACCTTCAAGGTTTAAACCACGAAGCACAGCTCTTTCTCCCGCAACCATCATGTACTTTGGAACATCCTGTGCGATCACAGAGCCACCACTAATAAATGAGAAAGAGCCAACATGGCAGAATTGATGAACGACAACAGCCCCTGCAGTGTGAGCATAATTTTCCTCCACAACATGGCCTGCCAGCAATGTATTATTTACAAAAATGATGTTGTTTCCGATCTTGCAATCGTGGGCAATATGACAAGATCCCATGATAAGATTGGTATTCCCAACATCTGTTATATCACTCGACTTCGAAGATCAGTGGATCGAAGTCTAGTTTCTTGCATTATACAAGAGAAGTTGCAGGAGTGATTGATGAAGAAGAAGAAGGTGGGTGTGGAGAGAAGAAGAGCTTTCTTGTGGCGCAATTTTCGAGGGGAGAGGCGGTAATTGCACCCGGTGGTATTCATCTGTTTAGGGTTTTCTGCAGTGTTCTTGAAGCATTGCAGACATCTTGGTCTTGCAGTTCCAGATTAGTTTCAGAGCTCTAGCTAGTTCAAACTTCACTTGGCTACACCAAGTTTAGTTTGAGGGGGGAGTAATAACAGAAATGTTTAGTAATAACAGAAATGCCACATGACACTATTTCAATAAGGAGTTTGTTAGTATAGTTAGAAGGATATTATTATAATTAGGAATGACTATATAAGGAATTGTATAGCTATTATTTTCATTGAGTTCAATTGTATACATTCTCTGAATTCTATCAATACAATCTCTCTGGTTGCTCCCTATCATTTTCCTCTTCCTATGTACCAATTATTCATCTTTTACAATGTAGTTAACAAAAGTCACGTCTTGAACTCTGTTATATTGTAAATGGATCATAACCTAGCTCTTGCAATCTGAGTGACTGCCCATCAGTCGCCTCCGGGCAGGGCCAGCCCGGAGTATTGAGGGCCCTATGCAAAACTTAGATGGAGGACCTTTATTTTATTTTTTTTAATGTTATATTTCTTTATTATATATATTTTTAATTTTTTCATATATAAAACTAAAATATTACAAGTTACTGCAATAAAAATAAGTTGTTTGATCTGCCAAGTGTTTTTTCTTACTTTTTGTTATCTCTTGTTTACAAATTTGCAAAAGCTTAAAATACAACAAAACAATATCATTGGGATTTGAACCCAGCACATGGGCTATAAAAAAGAAGAGCTAAATCGCTTGCGCTAGAACCACAGATAAGATTGTTTTTTGCATCTAATTATTTATATGCATATGTATACATGTAATGAAAATTTAGAGGTCCTTTTGAATCGGGAGTCTGTGCAATGGCACCTGTTGCACACCCTCAAGTCGGTTCTGCCTCCGGGTCGGTGCTACTCAACTTTTCTACGGAAAATAATTTCCTCATATTTTGTAGCTGTTAGAATTCAAAATGAAGAAAACATTGTTTGATTGTTATAATGCCTTACATATACAATCCAAAACAACCAAGTAAAGGGGAAAAAAAAAAGAAAAAAAAAAAAAACCAAGTAAAGGGAAGTTAAATATTACATCGACCTCGACGAATCGTTTCAAAACGACATCAGAAAATTTCAAGAGAGATCGTAAGACTACAGCCACGCCGCAAAAGCTGCCTCCGAATGTAAACTTCCCCGGAAGAAGGTCTTCAGAGGGTATTTTGACTTTGTTATCTGCTTTTTATTTCAAATTGAATACGGAAATTCGCATGTAAATTGAAAGGATTAATAGGAGAACGTACCGTACGTCTACAGAATAGCTACTCTCTGACAGGGAATAGATCTACATGCCATTAGCACAACAACCGTGTACGCAACAAGAGCTAAAGAAACCAAACAGATGAAAGCGCGTCTCTGATACATTTTCCCAGCATCGCTCCTCAACATCTCCGCCGGCTGCGGCTGCGGCTGCTCCAACTGCTCAACGTGATCCGAGGAAGAGAAAATCACAATCTGGAGGTGAACCAAATCTTGCTTAAGAAAATTGATCTCGTGATAACGCTGCGTGCGCTCCCATTTCGTCACGAAACTCTTGAAGGGGATGGCGAAGACAACGCAAATCAGACACGAGAGGCTGAACGGCGCCCACCAGAACTCGCAGGACATGCGGCTAACAGATTGGAATATGAGGATTTGGAGGTAGATATAAGATCCGACCAACAGCATCGCCGTTTTTTCCAGACGCCTTACTGTTTGCTCTTGTTTTTCGCCGACGCCTTCCAGTTTCTTCCATGCGTTCTCCGCCTTGTCCAGTTCTTGACGGCGGATTATTCTTCTGTTTGGTGCGATGAGCGACGAATCATGGCAGTCCATAGTTAAAATTGATGATGTATTCCAGCAAAGAGGTTATCCTGCTGCTGGGTAGGATAAATATATGGTTGTTCAGGAGAAGGTTCGACGCTTGACCCCAAAGTGTAAAGGAAAGAACCCTGTATCATTTCATTAGAGTTACGGAGTCCGATAAACTTCTTGGTGTAAGATTCGTTCCTAAGTTCTTTTTTTTTTAGGAGTCTATAGACTTTTTGAGGAAGTTTCCTTATCATTTCTCAAAAGTTCGACACGATTCTATAAATAAAAGTAAAGGTTGGGACAAGTTCCACGAAGTGGACAACCCGTCAGCTGTACTCCATTAATATATATATATTGTAAACATTCTTAGAATAAGTATGATTGTGTAAATCCTAGATTAGATTTAATTTTAGTTATCATTTCCTATTACAACTTGTATTACTTGGAGGAGAAGAAATATCTTCTCTCCCTTTACTACTATAAATAAAGGCACAATGTAGGAGGGATAACAACAAACACATTCCCCTACAATTCTACAAACACACATCTCTCTTCTCTCTCCCACTGCCGCCGACCCTCTCTATTTTGTTAGATAAAAATAGACCACAACAAGTTATCAACACGCTCCTACCGCTGCGCTTAGGAATCTGACGTTGGAGATTTTTTTCTGCATCAAACCAGTTCATCCATATCATCACGCAATCAGGTTCTTTCCAAACAATGGCTTTTAACTCGATATTTTGCAAGCCCTGATAGCATGAACATTCACCATAATGCATGACCCAACTTTACGTTTAACGTATTTTAGATTCTACATAAATTGTGTATGCTTCATAACCAAAATTGCTACAATTATGTGAATTTGATATTTGCCATGAATTGAATCTTACATATGTACATCCATTGAAACTATTATTTGCATATACATCAACGTAAATATGTGATTCATTAGAATTATACATGCATATAATATAATTGAATTAAAAATAAAAATAAAATAAAAAATTTGTGATTGGGGAATTAGGGTTATGTTCGAACCCGTGCACTTGCACCATGCAAGCCATAAGCCACCAGGCCCGCAGCCTGCGATGGCCCAACTCATCCCCCATGCTTTCCCGAGCCGAGAACCAATCCTGGAGCCACGGCTCCAGGCCCAACACCCAGACCCGACGCCCAGAAGGCGTCGCCACCCATGAAATCGTCAACCAACATGGCCTGCAGCCATGCCCAGTTACCCCCGACGACCTGCAGTCGTCCCCGACGAATTTTTGTCTGAAAATTCGATTTTTTTTTTAAATTACAATCGAATTTCTAGGGTTTTACAATGAATATCGAGATTTTTTCAAATCTCCGTTCACCCCCATGGTCACCATGACTCAAATCGAGTCTTAAACAACACCCCGACCGACGCCAGAAGCGCCAGGTCCGGTGTTCTTCTCCGGCGACACACACCCAGCACTCGTTGGGGTGTTTAATCCCAAAAACCTGAGCCCTAGTGGGCTCCTGTCCCTCGGCTTGCATCAGCGCCCTTTGGGCTTGCTGCTGCTCTGAGATGTCACGGCCCAGCCCGTGAGGGAAAAGAAAAAGAAAAAAAAAACAACAAAAAAATTTTTTGGCTCGCCTGAATGGACCCGTGAGAAAAAAAAAAGAAATTTTTTTTGGGGCTGCACACAGCAGCCCATTCCCCTTACCCATGTCTCCCCGTGAGCTCCATGTGCCACCTGTGGGCTTTGCCTATATTTTTAGGCCCCGAGATTTTATTATTTAATATTTTTAAATAATATGGGTTTTTATATTTTCACCCACACTTTAATTTGGCCCCGAAGACCAAATAAATTAATTCAATTATCATTATACAATATTTTTGCATATATTTGTTGTATATTTGTTTGCATATATATTTGTGTTTGCCTGCAGGAATATATGAACCTGAAGTTCATAATTACTTTGAAACCTGAAGTTTCTTACAAACATGCCTTGTTTGAAAACCTGAAGTTTTCTCTTAAACATATCACCCATGAAAACCCAAAGTTTTTCATGCAAAATTAAACCAATACATGTCTATTAGAACCTATATGTTCTACTCCTATGTGAATGGATTGATTTTTCTCCATTACACTAACCACATCTTGTCCATCTATTTGTGATAGGAACATGTCGAATTTGAACAAACTCGACTTCACCGCTTTGGAGGTCTCTGGAAGGAACTACCTCAAGTGGGTTCAAGATGTGAAGCTCCACCTCACTGCCAAGAACTTGCGTTCTGCTATTGAAGAAGCAACAACTGAACCTGTTGGCGAAGCTGAAAAAGCCACTGCTATGATCTTCATCCGAAGACATATTCATGACGCTCTGCAAACTGAGTACCTTGCTGAGGAGGATCCACGTGCATTATGGGTCGCTTTGGCTGATCGTTTCGATCACCAAAAAGACATATTCATGCCTGAAGCTAGACACGATTGGCCGCACTTGCGCTTCCAAGACTTTAAGTCTGTGAATGAATATAATTCTGAAGTTTGTCGAATCCGATCACTTCTCAAGTTTTGCAATGAAACTTTGACTGAAGAGGATCTCCTGGAGAAGACATACTCGACCTTCTTTGCTTCTAATATTGTCCTGCAGCAACAATATAGAGCTCAGAAGTTCACTAAGTTCTCGGATTTGATCTCTGTTTTACTTCTTGCTGAAAAGCAGAACCAGCGGTTGATGAAGAATCATCAACCTCGACCTACTGGGGCTACTGCTGTGCCTGAAGCACATTATAGCACTAATCAGCACCCAAAACGCCAAAAGAGGCGTGGTAAGGGCGGCCAGAAGCCATCCCACCAAGGTCAACAGAGTCAAGGCTCATCCAAGGGAGGAAACAAAGCCTAGAAGCGCCCAAACCTCGCCCCTAAGGCCCTGAACTTCAAGAATAAGGGCAATGCACTTACCACAATGAATGACGATATGTGCTATCGTTGTGGTTCAAATGACCATTGGTCCCGTATTTGCCGTGCTCCCAAGAAGGTTAGATAAATATCATTCTCGTCGTAAGAAGTTTGAATCAAACTTCATGCAAGTGGACGAACCAGAGACTACAAAGATGGAGGTTTCTGACTTTCAGGAGGATACCACTCCTATGGAAGATTAGAATCTTAGACATAGACTTTTTTTTAGTTGAAATAAGACAATTGGGGCCAAATTCCACATAGTGGCCGCACCCCACCTTGTTTTTTGGTTGATTTTGAACAATTTTCCTTCATGTTTTGGATTATTAGTTTGACGATTTATTTTGGATATTCAGTTTTAATCCTTGAATAAATGAAATTATTTTGAATTGATACTTGTTTTTATAAACTTTTATGCATGTGACCAATTCAAATTAATTTTTCATTCTAGGTATGACTAGTGAGAAAGTTAGTTGTCTGGCAGATAGTGCAACCACGCATACTGTTTTGCGTGAACGCATCTATTTCACTAACTTCGTACCTAAGAATGCACCTCTGACAACCCTCTCAGGCCCATCCAACCTGATAGAAGGATACGGTAAGGCACGTATAATGTTGTCCAATGGTACAATCTTGACCATTGTTGAGGCACTCTATTCTCCACGTTCCGGAAGAACGTTACTAAGTTTCAAGGACATTAGAGATAACAATTACCACGCTGAAATCCACGTAGAAAGCGGAGTTGAATTTATGTGCGTAACTTCTTACGAATATGGCCAGAAGCGTATTCTAGAGAAGATGGAGCGTAACCCGAGTGGTCTGTATACTACGACCATACGCCCCATCGAATGCCACTATGTGGCCGGCCCTACCACAGGGACCGCGCACGAAATTACACTTTGGCATGATCGTTTGGGACATCCTGGACGAATAGTGATGCGCCGTATCTTCAAAACTTCACACGGGCATCCACTAACCCGAAGCTTAGGTTCGATCCGTGAAATCGCATGTCAAACATGTTCTATGGGAAAGCTTATTACTAAGCCTTCTTATGACAAGATTCGTTCGAATCCTCCCATTTTTCTACAACGGATTCAGGGGGACATTTGTGGACCGATTCAACCTCCCTGCGGACCATTTAGATATTTTATGGTTTTGGTTGACGCTTCTACATGTTGGTCACACGTGTGCTTGTTGTCCACAAGAAACGCTGCATTCTCCAAACTGTTGGCTCAGGTTATCAAGCTCAGGGCTCACCACCCTGATTATCCGATCAAATCTATTCGATTGGATAATGCTGGAAAATTCACATCTAAAACTTTTGATGACTATTGCATGTCGGTTGGGGTTGAAGTTGAACATCCTTTACCCTATGTTCACACCCAGAATGGCCTGGCAGAGGCTTTCATTAAGCGTTTACAAATGATTGCTCGATCATTGGTCATACGTACCAAGCTCCCGATCGTTGCTTGGGGTCATGCAATATTGCACGCAGCAAAGTTGGTCCACCTGAGGCCTGTTGCGACACAACCATTTAGTGCCCTTCAGTTGGTCACCGGATGCGAACTCGACATATCGCATCTGCGCGTTTTTGGTTGTACGGTCTATGTGCCGATTTCGCCGCCCTTACGTACAAAAATGGGGTCTCAGCGAAGGATGGGAATCTATGTCGGATATGATTCTCCTTCGATTATTCGTTACTTAGAACCTTTGATAGACGATCTGTTTACCGCTCGTTTTGTGGATTGTCACTTCTATGAGACAGTCTTCCCGCCGTTAGGGGGAGATAAGAACGTCAACATTCCGAATGAACGACGTGAATTATTGTGGACGACTCCCACTTTGTCTCATTTAGATCCCCGCACCGCTCAGTCTGAAGCTGAAGTGCAGCGCATATTAGATCTCCAGAGCATAGCTCAGAGCATGCCAGATGCTTTCACCGATCTAGCGCGCGTGACAAGATCACATATTCCAGCTGCGAATACGCTTGCAAAGATAGATGTACCAAATTTACGACGGACTACCCTCCTGGAAGCCCGGGACGCCAATTCTGGTGATCCACGTACATTAGCGGCTAGCCAATCATCTGCCCCTACACAAAAGTGTGGCAGACCCCTTGGTTCAAAGGATTCACACCCCCGGAAGAGGAAAACCACGGCACAAGGTCCTGAAGAGCCTACCGTGAATCCGACTATCGCTTACTCATTTTACCCAACTCATGAGGAAATTCTAGATTATGGAAGCGTTCTTGAAGAGACGAATCCTCCTCGCGAGAATCGTGAGATTTCGGTCTAT